CGAAAGTCTCGTGAAAAAATTAAGTATTGAAGTGGGTAAAACACAACCCTTCGATCTCTGGGACTACATTGCACCCATTAATCTAGATACAATTTGCCAAACTATGATGGGTTACAATCTCAATACACAGTTAAATATTGGGACCGAATTCGTCCACTCCATGAAAATAGTTTCAGAATTGAATGTTATGAGAATATATAAACCATGGCTTTATCCAGATATCATATTCAGAATTTATCGAAAATGCATAGGCTTGCAAAATGTTTACAAACATTTACACTCATTGCCAGATCAGGTAATCAAAGAAAAGAAAGAAACATATGCTCAAAAGAAAATAACAAATAGAACAGATGCTTTAAATGATTCTTCCAACGGAGTGTTTTTAGACAAGTTATTAGAATTGAACGAAGCTGGTGCAAATTTTTCCGATGAAGAACTTAGAGATGAAGTTGTTACTATGATGAGTGCTGTAATATTTTCTAAAAAACAGTAAAAAATAATATCAAACTAAATTAGAATTATTAATTGATTTTCGCAGGGCACTGAAACCAGCGCTGTTACAATATGCTTTTGCCTTTTATTATTAGCTATCCACCAAGATATTCAAGTAAAAACAGTATTTCTATAGTTTATAATCTATATAATAATAATAATAATAATAAAAATATTTTGTACGGATTATTTTTTATTCAATCTCATAGGATAAAGTTTATGAAGAAATTTACGAAGTTTTGGGCGAAAATGATGAATTAATTACCTTTGAAGAAACATACAAGCTTAAGTACCTCGAGAAAGTGCTAAAAGAAACCCTTCGACTATACCCAATTGCTCCAGTGTTCCTTAGAGAACTTCAAAGCGATATTAAGATTTGTGAGTTAATATAAAGTCTATAACTTCAGTTTATTCTAAATAAAAAAAAATACATAAATTATATTTTAGCTTCAAGTAATTATGTACTTCCAAAAGGGACAACGTGTATTATATCTCCAATGGTAACACATCATAATCCTGAGTTGTATCCGAATCCTTGGTCATTCAACCCGGATAATTTTAACTCCGAAAATGTGATGAAACGGCATAAATACAGTTTTATACCTTTTAGTAGTGGTCCAAGAAATTGTTTAGGTAACACAATATTATTTTACTACAAATAACTTTATAATTTAAATTGTAACCATTTTACTACAGGTTCCACATATGCTATGCTGTTTATGAAAGTATTAGTTTCTACGTTCTTGCGAAACTATAGCGTGCACACTGACACTAAATTAAGTGACATAAAATTAGAAATTGACATACTACTGAGGAGCGTTCATGGATATCCAGTAACTATCCGATCGAGAGATAGAAGATATAATCGAAATCAGAAAGCATAGATCACTACTGTACACAATTTAGTATTAGTTATTCGTATACTACTTTTTTGAATTAAAATAAAAAATAAAATGAGGTTTATTATAGTTTAAATAATTGAGTGAATATATTCATATTTTTATTTTAATATGCTGAATGATGATTTTTTATTATTATACGTACTGGCCATTACTCATTTATTTCTTACCCTCTATGTATATAGGTATATGAATTAGATAATGGGTTGTAGTGATACCAAAGAATAAATTAAATTCGAATGGAAATGCACGAGTGCTTAAGACCGTCCAAAAATATTGTTTATCATATTAAAAGGGATCCTTGTGGATCCCCTGGATCACCCTGTGATTATTGCATCTGACCGGAATATTCACTACCCATGTTCCAGTCAAATCATAGCCCCGGAAAATATTACCAGGAGGAGAGGGGTTAAGATTTTCCTAGGTTTATCCCCGGTACAATTATCCTAGGTTATCTTTACTCCCGGTAAGGTTCTATTATCCTAGGTTAATTATACCCC